CAGACCGAGAAGAGAGAACATATGGAAGCACAAAGGATGCAACATTTGGAAATTTTGCAAGGGATGCAGCAAACACAACAGCAATTTGGCATGCAGATGAAGCTTTCTGAGCAATATCTCCAGCAGCAAATGCAGCAGCAACAGCAGCAGCAAGAATTTGAATTTATGCAGCAACAAATGATTGCTCTGATGCAACAACAGCAACAGCAAACACAAATGTTGGCAAACATATTTCAAAAAAAGTTTTAACTACATGACATTGGGCCATTCCAGAAAATATCCACACTTCCCCCAACAGAGGGAAACTTTTGCCATCCAGAGGGGCAGAGGAAGAAAAATGTGATTCTGATAATAGTTAGTGTATCAGGAGATATCTGAAGGGGGTAAGGAGGTTAATATTTAATTTCCTCTGTCCGGGAAGTATGGATGTTTTCTGGAATAACCCATTTTGACAATTTCTTATACTAATTTTTAATAATTAAGTTATTTACATCATCATTATTTACAAGACAAGTTTTTAAATTATGAAAGTCAGTTATTTGTATATAAAACAGTTTGAGGTTCATTAAAAACTCAAAACTCTTTATTCTGGCCAATGGCACATAATTTAATGCCGATATTGGCCTTAAGATATTATTCCCCTTAAGATATATATAAATTATTGAACATTTTCAATGTATAATATTATTTAATTATGACAATTATTGATAAATTATATTTTAAGAAAGCAGGCCTTGCATACATTGTTACCTGGTAAACTGTCAACTTTAAGGTCCAAGACAGGCCTGATTTGTGTAATTTTGCATGCACTATTTAAATATTCACATTAATAAATTATATTTATACATATAGCAATACTTATTGACAACTAAAACTCTGGTGAGTGCATGGAGACATCAGGGCCGTAACGAAGGGGCTTGTCTAGATCAAAATTTTGTTCATTAGGGAATAGGTCCATTAATCTTTCTTTTCCCAAGGCAGGGGGAAGTAAAAAATTTTCCGAATATACCATTCTTCAGTAACTCTCCAATTAATATAGTGTCATTTCTTAAATTTTTTGGTAGTATTTTCATAAATTTATCAAAATTTTAGCTATAACTATTACTTTCACTCAAATATTTTCTGCACTATACAAAAATGATTTGCCAACAATATATTTTATGGAGTCACAACCACACCCCCCCCACCCCCCACCCCCAATAGCTATGGCCCTGGAAGGTATTGTTAGTGAAATATCACCAAAAATATTCATTAATTGTTGGTGGCTGTAGTTGAAATGTTTGGGATACAATGTTCTCATACAGACAGGTATGAGCATTCTGGAGTAATGCAGCCACACAATAGATTTTTCCGATAGCACTTAAATTTACTTTCATCTGCCTTTTAAAGTCCACAAAGCTAAAATATTTTGTGATGTTACCAAACATCCACTCGACTGAGACTCTCACAGTACTCATAGCTTTGTTGAACTCCATCATTTCAGGTATAAGCTCCCTATTTCTAAACGGTGCTTGCAAATGAATTCCCAGTGGGTAAGCTGGATCACCATAGAGACAAAGCGGTTGGTTGTTGTGGAAGGCAACCTGCCGTAAGGAAGCTAGAAGCCCTGATTCACGAAGCATTGTACTGTCGTGTCTTTTACCTTCGTAAGGCCCAGCAAGGTTAGCAATAAGACCATTAGGCAGCACAACACTTTGAAATTTTATGGAATGCACCCTCTTGTGACCATTGTACATTTGTCGCTGGTAGTATTTCGGTCGAGCAATTGGGCGAACAGTGCCATCGATAAATCCAAAGCAGTTTTCCAATGGGGCACCCTTGTCATGTACTGCATCAGCACAATTTTGGAGCAGCTCTGGTGACAAAAAAGGCTGATTCCAACTCTCCAGGCGGTGGTGGTGTGCATCATATACCAAATCCAGAACTTCGTTAAATATGAGGCATATCTCAGTTGGGTTTCTACCAAAACGTATAGCCATATCAGGATATCTGCATGGGTAAGCAAGTCTTTTTAGGAAAATGCATAGTCCTTCGATTCCAGAACATATACTTCCTTGCTGACATGTAATCTTTTCAGGAATTCCGAGCAAACGCTGTAACAAAGCCAGGTTTGACTTGGCAAATCTCAGCTCGATCTTGCATTCTTCATCATCCCAAGAATCCAGATCAAACAATTCAAATTTCCAGTATGGGAATAAAGGTTTGGACAAGTTATACTCGAACAGCAAAACAAATTCGGTATCAGAAATACACTGCTCGTGTCTGGCAAGAATTAAAGCATCGCGAACAGATTGCAAACCACCAAGCGCCATCACAAAAATCACAAACTAACATAACTATTTGCAAACATATATCACGACAGCATCACGAAATTTGAGTATTTAACGACCAAATTTATTTCAAAATCATTTTTGTGAATTGTGAACAATCATAAAACACAATATTAAAACAAAATATTAAAGCTACAAGTTCACTTCAGCTATTTTTATAGTCACAATTTTAGGTGTATATAAACCCGGATATAAACAAACTTTATAAATACTGTCAATATTTGGTTGTGGTTTTTACCATGTCTATTTCGAGTGAACATCCTATTTCACTTCAGATTTATCGAAGAAAATCATCTATCTAGGCGATGTTTCAATTGAAAAACATTTTACACGTCTTCTTGGCGTCCTGATCGCTCAATCTAAGTCTGTTTTTGTACTCGACACGACGGCGTTCTCGACCCAGACCTTTGCGCACCATTTTACGTCGTGTTGACGTCCGCGTCCTCGATCTAAATCTGTCTAATATGTTGTATTAAACGACTCAAAAACACCAAAATTTGGACCCGATGCGAATTTGTACAATATAGTGGAATATAAGCAAGGACAAGTTAATAAAGGTTCGACAGTTTATTTTGTATGGTTCTCATTTGCCTAATACAATAACATTTAGTTCACAATACAATATAAACAAGGGCAAGGTTAAAGGTTTGACCATATTAAAATACCTGTATTGAAATTCGCGCAATAGCTACTAGAATTTGCGCAAGTAAAGATAAAGCGAGCGTTCGATCAAAATGCCAAAAAGAACTAAGACATTTATTGTATGGTTCTCATTTGCCTAATAGAATAACATTTAGTTCACAATATAATATAAACAAAATATAAACAAGGACAAGTTAAAGGTTTGACAGTTTCACTACACAATGTCGACAATATACCTTAATACATGTATTAAAATTCGCGCAGTAGCTACTAGTTGGTGCGCCAAACGCTTTGTGGTAGCTATACTAAAGATAAAGCGTGCCTTCAAAATACCTACAAGAACTAAGACATTTATTGTATGGTTCTCATTTGCCTAATACAATAACATATAGCTCGACGCGAATTTTAACTAGTATCATATTCCATAATATAATGAACAATGTAAACTAGCCAATTCTTTTCACCTACAAAATGTCGACAATATACACTAATACATGTATTAAAATTCGCGCAGTAGCTACTAGAGTTCGAGCAAGTAGTAAAGATAAAGCTTGCATTCAAAATACCAAGACATTTATTGCATGGTTCTCATTTGCCTAATACACATTTAGTTCACAATATAATATGGGGTAGCAAATCTTCGAGTTAAGCCCCTCGAGTTAAGCCCTTCGAGTTAAGCCCCGACCACGCCCTTTCGAGTTAAGCCCCGACAACGCCCATACCTCGCCCATGCCACACCCATTTCCGCTGAAAGCTTAACTCGAAGTACATAACTGGTGTTAGGTACTTCGAGTTAAGCCCTCTAGAAAGTAGGGGCTTAACTCGAGCAAAGTCAAACATTTTGTTCTTCGAGTTAAGCCCCAACGTTTGAAAGATGTAAACGAGTTACGGTTAGTCTGATCCCAAACAAATTGAATTATCATTTGGATCGCGTTTCGTTCATTCACGGTTCAATACGTTTTATTTCGGCCGACGTATTATATATATTAGGGACTTTAAGTTTGACGTTTACGGCAAACCGCTAACCGCAAACGGCAAACTGCAAATCGTAATTTCAAGTCAACTGTTAGCTGTTCGAAGTTAGAGCAACTTGCGCATAAAAATTAACAATTATAACTACATCAGTAGTTATAATTATAAGTGTTGTTTTATGCTCATTTTTTGCATTTTCAAAAACAGTAGTTCAACGTTCAAACATCAATAGCGCAGTCAATATTGCATGTAAATTCAAGTGCTATATATCAAAATCGAAGTTAGTCATTTCTGAATGCATTATCGCTTTTATAGCTTTTACGTTACATGAAATCAAATAGTGTCCAGTTTTTTGGGGGGACACCCGGTATTTTAAGGTAGATTTGCATTTCGCAACTTGTGGGGCGATCGACATTTTGCGACCATTTTGTTTTTAAATGTGTGCAGTCTAATGAAATCGTTCTATATAATGAAGACTTGAATAGTTGTAACAACCATATAATGTGAAAGTGCATATTTCCACCGTTGAGAATTGGGTCTAAAACTATTAGTGAAAATTAACTCCCTTTACTCTTTAGGACTTAAGTTGATGAATTGAACTTCAATAAAATACCTGCGTATGTATAATTATCATAAACGTCTTGTAAACCAGCCATGAGCTCATTTTTAAAATGACGCGTTCGTGATTATAAATTGCTAATCAAAATCTAAGTTAGCCATTATGAATGCAATGATCTTTATTTCATTGCGAATCTGCGATAGCTTTTATAGCTTTTACGTGACATGAGATCAAACAGAGTCCGGTGTTTTTTGGGATACCGGTATACAATTTGAAAATATTTTAAGATTGACCTATACGGCAGAAAAGGTCGATCTTTATTCCTTTATTAGCTAAATTAAAGTAGCTAAATCATAGTCCAATTTTTATGCACAAGTTGCTCCAACTTCGAACAGCTAACAGTTGACTTCAGATTACGATTTGAAGTTTGCCGTTTGCGGTTTGCCGTAAACGTTAAACTTAAAGTCCCTAATATATATAATACGTCGGCTGAAATAAAACGTATTGAACCGTGAATGAACGAAACGCGATCCAAATGATAATTCAATTTGTTTGGGATCAGACTAACCGTAACTCGTTTGCATCTTTCAAACGTTGGGGCTTAACTCGAAGAACAAAATGTTTGACTTTGCTCGAGTTAAGCCCCTATTTTCTAGAGGGCTTAACTCGAAGTACCTAACACCAGTTATGTACTTCGAGTTAAGCCCTCAGCGGAAATGGGTGTGGCATGGGCGAGGTATGGGCGTTGTCGGGGCTTAACTCGAAAGGGCGTGGTCGGGGCTTAACTCGAAGGGCTTAACTCGAGGGGCTTAACTCGAAGATTTGCTACCCCAATATAAACAAGGAATAGTCGTTCGATTTGGCTATACTGTTTGCTCGTTCTAAATGTATATTGATCGATTTCAATAATCGATTTACATATCAGTCTGGCCCCAGTCTGCTCCATTCGAGTAAGTGTTGCCCGATTTGTATCATTGGTGATTTGGTGTTCGACTTATAACTATTGGACCTATTGAATTTTGACAGTAAAAACGCGCCATATATAATACATGTATTAAAATTCGCGCAGTAGCTACTAGAATTAGCGCAAGTAAAGATAAAGCGTGCGTTCAAAATACCACTGGCAATGAACAAGAACTAAGGCATTTGTTACGAAATCTGCTGTCGAATCAGTGTTGGATTTTTCTCATGTGTACAATGTAGCATAACACATGTATTAAAATTCATGCAGTAGCTACTAGATAATAAATGGGAAATGAACTAGCTATTTTAAAACTGTAATGTATGATGATTCTTTTGAGATAACAATGAGAAGATGAAGCGAACGAAGAAGAAAAATTCCAGTCGGCGGCCAAAAAGGCCGTTTGCCGTGAAGTTTAAATTGCCCTGTTATGTAGTAGCCTATAATATGTGCGTGGAACGCATATTACCTCGCCCTCAAAGTTTTGCCCTCGCCCTCGACGTTTTACCCTCGACATTTAACCCTCGACACTCGACCAATAGATAAACTCCACACGACATATAGGGACAACCAGACACAGTACTAAAATGCGGTGCCTGCGAAAAAAAATTCTGGCGTTTCGCCTACAAGTAAACTTATATAAAACAAAACGCTCCACGGAGCGTAAAGTCGCTGGGACGATGGAAATAAGCACAAGTGATACCACTTAAGAACAGCGTGTTTGTTTTTCCGAAAACATTGAATCTTGAAGTTTGCAGTTTGCCTGGCAGTTAGCACTAATAGTTAAAACAAGTACAACCATGTAGCAATGTTGTTTTAAT